TAAAAACAAAGAAAAATCTTAAATATTTCTAGAAAGGAAAAAAAAAAGCCATATACAAAAGATTTGGAATCAGAAATAAATTTCTTAACAACACAGAAGAGAGAAGGGTGAGAGCCTTGAAAATTTGGAAGAAAAGTTATTTTCAACCTGATATTCTCTCAAGCAAGATCCAAAAGTTTGCCTCCTATGGATGCTTTCTTAGGATATTACTGGAGAATGTGTTTCTACCAAAAAAGAAAGCAAAGCCAGAAAAAGACATGGGATATAAGGAAAGAGCTCCTGCCAGGAGAGTTGGGGAGAGGATAACCCAAGCCATGGTTAGGTATCAGGCCCAGAATGAAGCAAGAGGGAGAGGGAGTGAGGGAGAGGGGCGAGGTCTCCAGAGGTGAAACAAAGAACCGCGGTAGACGGCTCACAGACGGGTGGGAGGACTTGTAATTTAGCCGTACATAGAACACTAATCAAATGAAACCCAAAGTAGTATTGACCGCAGGAAAGACAACATGTACAAGAAGAGACATAATCATTTTACAGACGAGACTCAGCAGTGTACCATATTTCACAGTCAAAAGAAATCACTGGAAATACAGATCATGCATTTAGAAATTAAGCCAAAAGGAGGATAAGTAAGGCAAGGGGGAGAGAAGGGTATGTGTGGAGATCGAAAAATATCTAAGTCTTTACCTCCCATAAAAGACAGTTTTGGATAATGTCTTAAATTAATACACCAAGAAATAGCTGTCTAGGAATATAATTTTTAAGTATGGAAATACAAATGAGAATCAACAGCACAAAAGCATTGGAAGTGACTGCCCGGGAGCAGGTAGGATTAGGGAAGGTAACAGCTATTTTTCGTTAGAAATACTTTGATACTAGTGCAAGCAAAATTTTTAGAGTACTTATACAAACTTGATATTTTAAAAAAATGATTTGAAATCAACAAATGGCAAGTTCTGGTGAGGATGTTGAGAAAAGGGAACCCTAGTACACTGCTGGTGGGAATACAGACTGGTGCAGCCACTGTGGAGAACAGTATGGAGTTTCCTCAAAAAAGGAACTCCCATTTGACCCAGTGATCCCACTTCTAGGAATATATCTTAAGAAATCTGAAGCACAAATCAGAAAGAATGTATTCACCCCCATGTACATAGCAGCACAATTTATAATAGTTAAGATCTGGAAACAGCCCAAGTGCCCATCAGTAGATGAGTGGATAAAAAAGCTGTGGCTCATTTGCACCATGGAATACTATGCAGCAGTAAAAAAGAAGGATCTCTCACCTCTCTTACCCTGTGAGATAGCAAGAAGGGACCTGAAGAATATTATGCTAAGCAAAATAAGTCAGTCAGAGAAAGGCAAATATCACATGATCTAACTCATATGTGGAATCTAATGAATAAAATAAACAGATGAAAGGAGTGGATCTAGAGACATGGAAGCATGGAGGGAAGGCTGGGGAGGGTGGGTAGAAGGTAATCAACCAAAGACCTGCTATGCATATATGCATAACCCATGGACACAGACAATAGGGTCGTAAAGCCCTGGGGTGGGAGGTAAGGGCGGGCTAGAGGGGGTCAATGAAGGAAAAAAGGGGACAAATACTTTCAACAATAAAGGATTATTTTTAAAAATGGTTTAGGAAGAGCAATTAAGGCCTAGTAGCACTTATTTTGAGGAAATTTTAAAATAAATTTTAGCAATTCTGCAAATTTTAAGTAAAATTATATTTCTTTTAAATTTAGTAAGTATATAGAATTACTGGTATATGCATAAATATACACATGGCTGCTAAATATCCATCTCTCCTCCTCTGGATATTTAGATCATAAAGGGGCTTAATTTAGATCATAAAGGGGCTTCTTCCCATGCATTCTCCAATCCAGGCATCTATCAAGTGGTTGCTCCATTGAACACACCATCTTGCCTGCCACTCCCAGCAACTCTGAGGTCCTCTTTCCACCACTGTTGGTCACCATCAAGAAATCGTGGGCTGTCTTTGCAGGAGAATACTGTTGCTGCCACACCTCAAGGAACACCACACATTTCTTTAGTTGAATACCACTGCACATAATTTATCTTGACTTATTAAATTTTAATGGTAGGATCAAGGGTAAAAGAGATGTGGGCTGTTAATAACACAGAAAAATAACCCGGGAGGTGAGGATGTAGAAAATTGAAACCCTGTGCACTGCTGATGGGAATGTAAAATGGTATAGCTGCTATGGCAACAGTTTGGTGATTCCTTAAAAAAGTAAACATAGGGGGGAAAAAAGTAGACATGGTATTACCTTATGATCAAGCAATTTCACTTCTGGGCATACCCCTAAAAAAATTGAAACAGAGACTCAAAGAGATATTTGTACACCCGTGTTTATAGCAGCATTGTTCACAGTAGCCAAAAGTGTAAACAGCTCAAGTGTCCATAAACAGATGACTGGATGAACAAAATGTGACATGTATATGCAATGGAATATTATTCAGCCTTAGAAAGGAATGAAATTCTGATAGATGCTGCAACATGAGAGTGAAATAAGCCAGACTCAAAGAAATAAATACTGTACAATTCCATTTATATGAATGATTTAGAGTAAGCAAATTCATAGATTTAGAAGTAGAACAGAGGTTATCAGGAGCTGGTGGAGGAGCAATGGGGAGTTAGTGGTTGATGGAGACAGAATTTTTGTTGGGATGTTGAAAAAGTTCTGGAAATGGATAGTGGTGATGGTTGTATAACATTGTAAATGTACTAATGCCACTGAACTATATATCTAATGTCATATCTTTTTATTACAATTTTAAAAGAAGAAATGTAAGATGAGAACTTTTCCTGGATGGGATGATTCCCATTGTAGGTGTTCTGTCATTTCTATTCTTCTCACTGCTTTCAAGAGTCTTCTCCAGTCTCCAGCAGTGCAAATTGCCACTCACTTTGGGTAAACTTCACTCCCTATCTACTCACCTTGCTGCTACCCCAGAATCTACTTCCCACCCTGTCAGTCAGCTATGCTGCATAACAAAAATCTCAGTGGCACACAGCAACCGATGCCTCTTCTCTCTTAGTGTTTGCCAGGGAGCAAGAGTTTGATTGGTCAACCATAATATTGATGGTGATCCAGTCAAGGTACAGAACATTTGTATTACCTAAGGGTCCTCATGGTGCTCTGTTATGGTCACACATATTTCTTTACCACTCTCACCCCTTCCTTAACCCCTGACACACCGTTGATATCTTGATAGGAATTGCACTTAATCTATAGATTGCTTTAGGTAGTATAGATATTTTACTGATGTTAATTTTTCATATCATAAGCCCAATATAAGCTTTTATTTATTTGTATTTTCTTCAATTTCTTTCCTCAATGTCTTAAAATTTTCTGAGTATGCATCTTTTACCTCCTTGGTTAAATTTAATGCTATGTATTTTATTTTTCATACAATTGTAAATAGGATTGTTTTTTAAATTTCTGTTTCTGATAGTTTGTTATTGGTGTGTAAAAATGGAACCAATTTTGGATTATTACTTTTGCATTCTGCTACTTTACTAAACTCATCAGTTTTAATAGGTTTTTGGTAGAGTCTTTAGGCTTTTTTCTATATAATATCATATCATCTGCAAATAATGACAATTTTACTTCTTCCTTTCCAATTTAGATGGAAATTCTTCATTTCTTTTTCTTGTCTGATGGCTATGGCTAGGACTTTTAATACTATCCTATATAATAATAGAGGAATATGCAAATTGCCCATTACTCTGTAATGTCATGACAAATTGCAGGAGGCTGCCTGCACGTGCGTGCTGGGGCCTTGCCCTGGAGAAGGGGTGTTAGCAGGGAGTTGCCCAAAGTTGGCTGGACCATCCTGTGTTGGGGGTGTGAGGGTAAGAGCCCATGTGCCCCCTCACTAGTCCTTCGCCACCCACAACTCTCACTTAGAGTGCCCTGCAGCCCACCTGCCAGGGGAAGCAGCACAACACAGCAGGCGGGAGGCTTCCATGCTCTCCTCTGGAGCCGCCACATTGCTTCGGAGACAGGGCAGAATCGGGGAGGTGCCTGGAGAAGGCAGGACCAGCCCTAGGTGACTTGAGGGACTGAGGGCGGGGCATGAAGCAGCCAGAGAAGGCCAGGGCCGTCAGGGACTGCTCGAGGTGCACTGGAGCTCTGTGTGGAGAGGTTTGGGTGTCAAGGCATGGCGGGGCTGCTTGATTTCACATGCTGGGCTCCTACAGTTTAATAAAAGTGGTGAAAGTGAGTATTCTTATTTTGTTCCTGATCTTAAAAGAAACACATTTAGCTCTTCACCATTAAATATGGTGCCATATATGGCCTTTATTATGTTGAAGAATGCTCTCTCTATTTCCATTTTGCTGAGAGTTTTATAGGGTTTTGTTTTGTTTTGAGAATTGAATAAGCCAATGTATGTGAAAGGAATCTGTAATATTATAATCATATACTCTGTAAAAAGTAAAGAGGGAGTTTTATTTGGCTATCTGGTTAGTTGTTCATTCATTCACATATTTTTAAAGTCTTAGGTACAAATGAAAGAATGAAGAAGCCTTGCTTTGAAAACTCACTCTAGGAAGAGCTAGGAAGCCAGGACTGTGTGACAATTTTTCCTCAGCCCTCCTGTTCAACTCCTCCCTGCAGTCGGCTTTCCAAGCTTGAAAAATAAACACAGTTGGAGTAGAAGGCATGAAGTCCCACAGAATAATAGTGAGTTGTCCAGAGAGCAAATAGCTTGTTGGGATGGAAGCCTTTATAAGTTTAAGGGACAAAATTTGCAGCGGAAAAGCACAAATTGCAGATTGCTGTTCTGTACTCCTTCCTTGAAGTGACTGCCTGTACCTCACTATGGACTAGGAGCTTCCTGCGGGCAGGGCTTTGTCTCCCTGAATTTGAGTCCCATTCATTGTCTAGCACCATTCTTGCTCACAGTAAGTAAGTCCTGATGGGGTAGAACCAACATAGCTGCAATGATGAGCACTCTCGGTTTTGGACTTGCAGGTCGGAGCCCTCCCCGGACTGTGCGATGTGCTGCGGGTGCTGTGGGAGGAGCGGGACAAGTGCCTGCAAGAACTCTCTGCAGAGAGGACAGGAGACGGTGGCACGGAGCCACCAGCCCCAGGTGCGTAGCCCACCTTAGTCCACTCCAGACATGGATCATGTCCGGTCCCACTGTGTCGGGGAAGCTGGGCCTCTGGACCAGGGTGGGGATGTAGGGGCTGGGCCAGCTGTATTCATTGAGGCAATCAGCTCGTAATCCATGTATGCACACCCAAAAGCCATATTATCACCATTCTTTCTTTCTCTGGGCTTGTGCACATAGCCAAGGCTTTTGTATCATTAATTTCTGCATGATTACCTCACCAAGTTTGGTAAGAATTCCTTGTCAAGGCAGTGTACCTCTTGTCCATTCTCTCACCTCCAGGGCTAGTTTGATGAGTGAGGTAGTCAAAATGGCAAGTTGGGGTTAAAAAAACCTGCGGTCTCTGGTGTGCGACCATGCACAAGTTATCTAACCATCTGGCCACAGATTCCTGGTCTATAAAGTGGTGTCTACTTTAGAATTTTAATGATACATGAGAGAAAATATGTTAAATATTATAAATTTAAATATTAATTCTTATTACTAATCAAGACTTTAAATATTATTAATTTCATATTTAAATGTTAATTTTATTTCTAGTCCCTTCCTTAACATATCTTCTTTGCTTTCCCTCATATAAGGTTAAGGAAGGCTTGCATTAAGAAAACTATCTATTTATTCAAGTAAAAACTTGTACACATATGTTCATAGTAACACTAGTTACAATAGCCTAGAGATAGAAACAATCCAAATGTCTGTCAGCTGATGAATGATAAACAAAATGCATGGGTGTCCAATGGAATATTGCTGGGTCTTAAAAAGGAATGAAGTAGTGATACATAGTATGGCATGGATGAATATTAAAACATTTTAAGCAAGCAGCAAGTTATAAAAGATCATGTTTTATATGTTTCTATTTATATGATATGTCACCTTTAGGCAAATCTTTAGAGACAGAAATCAGACTTACATTTAAATATTTAACCTGTTTTAAGCTTATTCTTGTGTATGATGTAAGCTGGTAGTCTAGTTCCATTTTTTTTTGCGTGTACCTGTCTAATTTTCCCAACACCATTTATTGAAGAGATTGTCTTTATTCCTTGTTTGCCCTGCCTCATTTGTCAAATATTAATCAACCATAAAGGAGTCAGTTTATTTGTGGGCTCTCTGTTCTGTTTCATTGATTTATATGCCTGCTCTTGTGTCAATTGCAGGCTGTTTTGATTACGGTGGCTTTGTAGTATAGTTTGATATCTGGCATTGTGATTTCTCCAACTTAGTTCTTTCTCAAGATTGGGGCCTTTTAAAAAATATATATTTTATTCATTTTTTACAGAGAGGAAGGGAGAGGGATAGAAAATCAGAAACATCGATGAAAGAGAAACATCGATCAGCCGCCTCTTGCACACCCCCTACTAGGGATGTGCCCACAACCAGAGTATGTGCCCTTGACCGGAATAAAACCCGGGTCCCTTGAGTCCGCAGGCCGACACTCTATCCACTGAGTCAAACCAGTTTCCGTCTTCTTTTTAATTCCATATAATATAATTTTTCTAGATCTGTGAGATATATCATTGGTATTTTGATAGGAATTGTACTGAATCTATAGATTGATTTGGGTAGCTTGGACATTTTAATGATGTTAATTCTTTCAATCCATGAACACAGTATATATCTCCACATATTTGTATCATCCTCAGTTTCTTTCCTCAATATCCTATAATTTTCCAAGTACAGGTCTTTTACCTTTTTAATTAAATTTATTCCTAGGTACTTTATTCTTTGATGTTGCAGTACTAAATGGGATTATTTTCTTAATTTCTCTTTTTGATAGTTAAGTGGTCAGCAAACTGCGGCTCGTGAGCCACATGCGGCTCCAGAGCTGTGGTTTGCCATTCTGTTGACTAATGAGTTTGCTGACCACTGCCCTAGACTCTTGATTCCAATAATTACAGGCTGTTGTTGTTCCTTGTGATTAAGACCCTATCCCAGTAGTCAGCAAACCCATTAGTCAACAGAGCGACAAACAGTGGCTCGAGAGCCACAGTTTGCCGACCACTGTGATAGTTCATTATTGGTGTATAAAAGTACCACCGATTTCTGAATTAATTTTTTATCCTGCTACTATGCCAAATTTATTTATTAGACCTGGGGATTTTTAGGAGTTTCTATGTACAATATCATGTCATCTGTGAATAAGGAGTTTTCTTCCTCTTTTCTAATTTGGATGCCTTTTATCTCTTCTTTTTTGTCTGATTACTATGGCTAGAGCTTCAGTACTATGTTGAATAAGAGTGGTGAAAGAGGACATTGTTCCTGATCTTAAGAGGAATGCTTTTAGATTTTGCCTATTGAATATGATGTTGGCTGTGGGTTTGTCATATATGGACTTTAATTATGTTGAAGTATGATCCCTCTATCGCCACATTGCTGAGAGTTTTTATCATAAACTATGGGCCCAGTGCATGAATTTGTGCACTTTGAAAGGAACTATGGGCCGCGAGGCTGTGGTGGGTCTCAGTCCATCCTCCATGTTCCCTCCTATCCCTCCCACTGTAGCCCCCAGTTCCCTGTCTGCTGGCAGCCCCCCTCCCACTGCTGCTCCCATGTGCTGATGATGCCGACCTTGCTCACACCTGCTGATGGTGTAGAGCGATTGGTGTGAGTGGGACCAGAACCATCAGCAGGATGTGAGCAGTGGCTGCTGCCCTGATCAGTCACTACTCGCACCTGCTGATAGCACTGAGTGATTGGGATCAGTGCTGGGCAATGGCAATGGGTGTGGGTGCAAGCAGGGCTAGTGTTGGCAGTGGGTGTGAGCAACGGCTCCAGTGCCAGCAGTGGGTGCGAGTGGGGTTGTTGTTGGCAGTGGGTGCAAGAGGTGGCTGCTGGCCCCAATTTTCCCTCAGGAGCAAGGGGAGGTGGAGAAGTCCTGAGGGATGATCGGGTCTGTAGCGGGTGTGAGCAGGTCTGGGTAAGAGCACCAGGTGGGACCATGGCACAGGGGCAAAGAATTTTCAGTAACCACCAATGGCTCCCTCTGATAACAGGGACTGGTCCCCTGCTTTGGTCTGGAGCCCCCGCTCACCTGCTCCACCATCCCATGGCGGGCGACCATGTTCTGTGTGCACCTCCTGTTGGTCAGCGCACATCATAGTAACCGGTTGTTCTGTTATTCTGCCATTCGGTCTATGCCATTTGCATATTAAGGTTTTATATATAGAGACTAGAGGCCCAGTGTATGAAAATACATGCACTGGAGGGGGGTCCCTTAGCCCAGCCTGCCCCCCTCACAGTCTGGAAGCCCTCAGGGGTGGGAGATGACTTAGTGACCAGGCAAAGGTGATGCCCCATCATACCTCTGCTGCTGCCACTGCAGGCAGTGCAGGCCTCAGCCATCCCTGGTCACCTGAGCCTTGGTTGGAACTGGGTGGCTGGGAAGTCATCATCTGAGGCTTGCTTACGCCTTGGGTTGGCCCTTGGCAGCTGGGCAGCCAACATCTGAGGCTTGTCTGCACCTCAGGCCAGCCCTGGGCGGCTGGGGGGCTGGGAAGACTGGGGAACTCCGGAGGCAGCTGGGCCTGCCTGGGGGCAGGACTAGCTTTGCCACATACCTGCCACCTCAGCAGGGCTGAGGGGACTGGGTACCACCATCTTTGAGGGCTGAGAAGTCAATTAGCATATTCCCTCCTTATTAAATAGGATAGGTTTTTATTAAATGCTTTTTTTCATTTATTGACAAAATCATGTGATTTCAATTTTTAATTTTGTTTATGTGATGTATCATGTTTATTGATTTACAAATATTGCACCAATCTTGCATTTCAGGAATAAATTCCATTTGATCAGGTTATATGATCTTTTTAATATATAATGCATAATGCCTTGCTAATATTTTGTTGAAGATTTTAGCATCTATGTTCATTAGGGATGTTGACCTAAACTTTTCTTCCTTTGAGGTGTCTTTATCTGGTTTTGGAATTGGGATAAAGCTGGCATTGTAAAAAGAGCTTAGAATTCTTCCCTCCTCTTGAATATTTCGGAATAGTTTGAGAAAGATAGGTGTTAGTTTTTTTTTTTTTTTTTTTGAATGTTTGGTAAAATTAACCCATGAAGCCATCTGGTCCAGGACTTTTCTTTGTTGGAAATTTTTGACTAGTCCTTGGATTTCAATTCTCTTGGGTATATACCAAGAAGTAGAATTGCTAGTATCATATCATAATTCTGTTTTTAATTTTTTAAGGAACCACCATACTTTCCCCACAGTGGCTGCACCATTTTATATTTTCACCAACAGTGCACAAAGGTCCTAATGTCTCCAGATTTCACCAACACCTGTTACTTTCTCTGTTTGTTTTTATAGTAGTCATCTTAAAGGGTGTGTGACAGTATCTCATTGTGGTTTCGATCTGCATTTCCCTAATGATTAGTGATGTTGAGCATTTATTATGTGCTGCTGGTCATTTGCATATCTTCTTCAAATAAATGTCTATTCAAGTTCTTTGCCAACTTTTAAATAAGGTTGTTTAGTTTTTTGTTGAGTTGTAGGAGTTCTTTATATATTCTGGATATTAGCCCCTTGTAAAATACATGATCCACAAATAAATTCCCATATTTTGTAGATGGTCTTTTTATTATGTTGTGTGTCCTTTGATTCACAGAAGTTTTTAAGTTTGACATAGTCCAATGTACATGTTTTTACTTTTAAAAAATTTTTTTAAAAATAAATCTTTATTGTTCAGATTATTACAGATGTGATCCTCTTCCCCCCCCCCTCCACCAGGTTCCCACCCCACCCTCTGTCCTTTCCCCATTCCCTATTGTCCTCATCCATAGGTGCACAGTTTTTGTTCAGTCTCTTCCCGCACCCCCACTCTCCTTTTCCCCGAGAATCGTCAGTCCACACCCCTTCCATACCTCCGATTCTATTATATTCACCAATTAATATTGTTCAGCAGATTTTTTAATTCCTTTGGTTTTTAGATTCACTTGTTGATAGTTACGTATTTGTTGATCATAATTTTTATCTTTATCTTCTT